TGGACCAAACCACCTAAAGCCACCAGATTAGAGGTTATGGTAATCTTACTAAATTTAAGGTGTAGCTATTTTTGTTAAACCAATATTAATGCCTTACTTATTAAAGATTATGCAAGCAAAGATCATTCCACCTTGGGCTGGGTTTATAGTTTCATAACCCCTATGCCAAGTTTTGACACCTTATGGTATTTGGCAGTGATAAGTATGAAATTGCTTGTTTAATAAATGCAAACAAAAATGTATGCTAGAAATTCTTAAGACATTTCTAATATTACTTTGCCAACAATTTTAAAGCTAGCTTATTTATTAAAGATTTTACTTAAGTTATGTAAACTTGTAAAAGCATTTAACTCATCTTTTTTTCCTGATAACATTTGATTCAAGCGTGTTTATTTTCTTAAGCCAATCAATTAGAGCCCTTTTATATATTTTCAGTAGTGAAACATTGTGTACACAACACATAAGTACATAGACATATTAGGTATGCCAATAGAGGTTCATCTCATAGGTTTATAAAAACTTTTTTTTCCTATCTTAGACTTTCAGATTCTTGATAACCTGTTTCAGGAAACAACTCAGGTGAAAATCAAATAGCAAAATTTGTATCATTATTAGGTACAGAGAGAAGTCTGTTGGTGCTAGAGGGAGACTAAAGATGGATGCCAAGTCAAACAAAATTATAGAAATCTATCATAGGCTTGTATAAGGAGACCAGTTTTATTTAGCTAGGGACTTCCTATCTTTTAACTGGATCTCTGAGCTCTGGAAAGAGCCCACACGGAATCCTGGGTCTCCAAAAATGGAGAATTATTATGAGCTTAGACACATGATGCTATTACAGTGCACTTAAAAATTTTTTTTTAAACAAAGACATTTCTAAGTGTCTAAACCACACTCTTCCTTAAAAACTTACAAGTAACCTCTGTTGCAATAACTATTTTAGTCAAACAAACAGGTAACACACTAAAAAAGTAAGCAATCTAATTGCTGAGATGAACTTGTCTGTTTACATTCTTGGGGTTTCATAAGAAGAAACAACTTTCTCCCCCAAAAAGAGTCTGGTGCCTTCTCCATTTTCTTAAAGAAACCCCAGGCTGTTATAAATTATTTTAGATCCCCCACGCAGCAGAGGGCACAAGAGAAAGGGGAGACAGCAGAAGTGAATGAAGAAACAATTCAGTCAACTGAGAAGAAAAAACTTTTGCTCAGAAGCAGACAAGGTCCTAGGAGAAAACCAAAAACAAAACATGAAGGCCTTTTAAATGTAAACACACATATATGCGCACGCGCACGCACACACACATGTACACACGTGTGCGCACACGCATGCACACACACACGCGCACACACACACCCCTTGGATGTTAGCTTTTAATTAAGCTGACTTTCAACCATTGAGCTGCTTTAAAAATATATTTTTAAATCTCATTCTGTATTTCAACTTGGACAAATTGCTGCTATTTCAGCAGTACAGTCATTACTCTTGCAGTTTGGCCTGGCTAGTGAAAACGTGGCCATGTTATATAAATAAAGGCCCCTGGTAGTCAAAATCAAAATCTTTCCTCTTTTTTCCTTTCGCTGGCCATTTTTCTCCTCCTATCAGGGAATTTAGCCACTTCAGTGGCCTTGTTCCCCATAATTTGGGACTTCCTTTGGATTTGACCAAGTCAGAGAGAGTTCAATGGGAAAAAGACTAAAACAACAAAAACAAACAATCAACAACAACAAAAAAACAGTTAAGCAAAACAATCGCATAACTTAGACCAGGCGTCCCCAAACTACGGCCCGCAGGCCGCATGCGGCCCCCCTGAGGCCATTTATCCGGCCCCCGCCGCACTTCAGGAAGGGGCACCTCTTTCATTGGTGGTCAGTGAGAGGAGCACAGTACGTGGCAGCCCTCCAACGGTCTGAGGGACGGTGCACTGGCCCCCTGTGTAAAAAGTTTGGGGACGCCTGCCGTTAGACAATTGCTGAGCACTCTAATGGTAAGGGGAAATGACGACCAGCTGGATCTTAATCTTAAGTTTAGCCAAGACAAACCACACTTCAGTTACATACCTAGGGTTGGGTCTCAGGCTGAAAACTACTCTCCACCATCCTAGAAGCAGGAAAAGAAAGGAGCGCTTCCTCTTCCCTTTTGGAAGCGAGCTCAAACTCCATAAAGGAGTTACCTGCGTTCCATCGTCACGGAAGCAGGAAAAACTTGCTGCCTTGTGTTGGAAGCAGGCAAGACTCCACAAGGAGGAGTTGTACAGGGAAAAAAGCTTCAGCTCTCAACCGGATCTTGGGAAATCAGGGATTCTCTGGAGGGGGTGCTTGCAGGCCTCAGCAAATGGTCTTGTTGGTTTGAGCCATAAAGTTAGTTCAAGCTGGTACCAAGCGCCCATGGGAGACTTGTCAAACATCAGGGGCACCTCCACTCAGAACACCTCAGTGGTCACCAAAATGTAAACCCCGAGTATCTAACACAGGTCTCAGTTAATTGAGAAAGTTTCCATTGCCAAGGCTGAGGACGCACACGTGACGCAGCCTCAGGAGGTCAGAGCAGTTTGATTTTATACATTTTAGGGAGACGGGAGACATTAGCCAACATATGTAAGATGAAAGGTTGTTTCGGTCCGGAAAGAGGGGACAACATCAGGCAGGGAGGGGACAAATGGTCGCATTCTTTTGCATTTCTGGCTAGTGTCTCCAAAGGAGGCAATCAGATACGCGTCTATCTAGCAGAGGGGTGACTGAAATGGGAGGCAGGCTGGCCCCACGCCGTCCCAGCTGGAGTTTTCCTTTTAGCTTAGTGATTTGAGGGGCCCAGGATTTTCCTTCCACACCAGGCACCATCGAACCAACAGGTTCTACTGTTATCATCTACATGAGGCAGATGAGGAAACTGAGGCACAGGCAAACCGCCAGCAAGAAAGTGCTAGAGCCTGGAGTGAATGCGAATTTCCCTGACTCCCAACTGCATTGCACACTGTTGGGGTGTGCTGAGTGGCGGCTCAGGCAGCTGTGGCCATGGGGATCCCGCACCTCGAGTGACTCCCTCTCCCCAGGGTTGGAGCCCAGCCCCACTGCACCCTCCAGTGGCTGCTCTGGGTCAATGCGGTTGCTGTACCTCCTCTAACCCCAGGGTGGTGCTTCCCAGAGCCGCAGGACCAGGGGCTCCCATCCCACCAGTGACGCAGACCTAAAGTAGCCCGGCCTCAGCCTCGGGTGCCTCTCAGCTTGGAGTTGTGGTGCCGTATCACCCCGGTGATCACATGCCACATCTGTGCTCCCTCCCGGGCCATCCTGAGTCCCCCACTCTGTACCAGGTCCTACAAAGGCCCCCAGATGGACAGGGCAGCCCACAGCCTCTGTGCTTGTGGGTGAGGTGGATAACCAACCATCAGATAAGGCAAGTCGGGCTGAGGGGTGACCTGAGCCCCTGATAGGATGGGGCCGCCATCCGGGAGGAAGGATGTCCACGGCCCCTGTGGGTATCAGGGTGGGCTTCCAGGAAGAGGAGGAAGAGGCCTTGGAATGAGCTTCAAAGGAGATGCATAACATTCAGGATGTCTAGTTCTGTGGCAGCCACAAAGCCCACGTGTTTGGACCCTGAGGCCAACTCGGCCGTTGTGACCTCTCCAGCTCCCTGCCCCAGCCCCCGCCCCAGTGTTCAGCCCAGGCTTGGCCACTCTGGTGCCAACCAAGCCTGCAAGGGAACCAGCAGTATCCCAGATATCTCCCCACCCCAATGAAAAGGCCAGCTCTAGAGACCCAGGAGCCACTGTCTAGGCGGGCCCCTCCGCACACTGGACCCCGGAAACGCTCCATGGAGAGCAGGATTTCATGGATCTGAAAGTGGGGGAGAGAAACTCACTGTCTCCAGGAGCTCCGAAAGGCAGGGGCTCGGAGAGGCACTGAACCGCCCCAGCTCTCCAGCCCCGTGCTCCTACATAGCATGGCCCAGAGGCCAGGCACGGTGGCTCGTAATCCTGTAATCCCAGAACACTTGAGGCCCAGAGGTTGAGACCAGCCTGGCCAACGTGTTGAAACCCCGTCTCTACTAAAAAGACAAAAAATTACAGGCAGGCACCTGTAATCCCAGCTACTTGGGAGGCTGAGACAGGAGAATTGCTTGAACCCAGTAGGTGGAGGTTGCAGCGAGCTGAGACGGCCCCACAGCACTATAGCCTGGATGCCAGAACGAGACTCCATCTCAAAACCAAAAAAACCCCACACTTACTAATAGTGTGATTTGTCACGAGCCACGGCAAGACACTCTTGTGAGTGTGGGGACTGCTGTTAGTGAACACACCAGGACATGGGTGTCACCCAGGTGGACACATGCCCCACAGGAGGACCCTTGGGTAGTACTGTCACCCTGCCCAGGAAGGCAGCAGGGCTCAGGGCCCAGAGCAGGGCTTGGAGGAGGCCCGCTGTCAGCCGGCCCCTGCCCCCACCGCTGTCCACAGACCCTCTGGGCAGCCTCAGGCAGGGCTCCTTCCTGGCGTACAAGCCCCTCCTCAGCCCTCCCCACCCTCCTGCCTTGACTCCAGGCTCTCGGGAGCTCCCAACACCTCTGCTTCCCAGTGAGGGAGGACCCTCCTCCCTGACTACACCTGCAGAAACCTGAGGGTGGCTCCAGTGTGACCTGGAGGGGTCACTTACCATGCCGGCCCCTCATCAGCCATGTGGGTGGTGGAGGTGGGTGAGGCTGGGCTGTGAGCATCCCTGGGTGCCTCTGCAGGACTGCCTCCCCAGCACAGCTGTCCCCAGGCTGTACCTGCCTGCTTGGGAAGTCCTCAGTCCCCAGGGGCTCCTAGGTCCACCTCCACACAATCTGCAGCTGGATGCGGGTACAGGAAGGGAGGGGACCCAGGGACCCAGTCCCTGCTGGGTCTGTGGTGGAGGGGGTGGGTCCCTGAAGGGTCAGAGTGAGGGGAGCCTCCCGGTGGCTCCTTGGAGATGGGGGACGTAGAGAGGTGGGGTGGGGCCTGCTCACCCCGTGTCCCCCACAGGCCGCTGCTGGCTGGACGCCCTGGAGCTGGCCCTGCGCTGCTCTAGCCTGCTGAGACTGGGCACCTGCAAGCCGGGCCGTGACGGGGAGCCGGGCACGTCGCCAGACGCATCACCCTCATCGCTGTGCGGGCTGCCAGCCTCGGCCACCGTCCACCCTGACCAAGACCTGTTCCCGTGAGTGGGGCGAGGGCACAGGAGGTGGTGACTCATGGGGTCTCCTTGAAGGTGAGGAAGACGGAGAGGTCGGCCCAGCCTCCGCTCTGGTGGGCTGCAGGGCTGCAGGCAGGGACGTGTTCCTTGCAGCGTACCTTAGAGCCTCGGCTTCTTCCTCTATAAAACGGGGCGAATTGTGTCAAGCGTGGCTTGTGGAGGCGATGACAGGCCGGAACGTAGGGAAAGCGCGGAGCAGCGAGGGCTGGGAGGCCCAGAGGGGTGTGCCAGGGTCTCACCCTTGACAGGGACCCACTGGCACCATCCACCTTCCAGACCGAACGGGTCTTCCCTGGAGAACGATGCATTCTCAGACAAGTCGGAGAGAGAGAACCCTGAGGAGTCAGATGCCGAGACCCAGGACCACAGCCGGAAGAACGAGAGCGGCAGCGACCAGTCGGAGACCCCCGGGGCCCCGGCACAGAGAGGGAGCACCTATGTACAGCAGGCCCAGGAGGAGCTGGAGGAGGTGAGAGCCCCGGCCCCTCGCTCTAGAAGCAGAGGTGGCCACGCCTCATCCTGGGGGTGCCCCTGGGGGCCCAGGGGGAGCCTTTGTCCCCATCGCTTGGCAGTGAGTCTGGGAGCTGTCTGGTAGGTGAGCAGCCTCCTCCCCTCTTCTGAAGACGCGGGCGGCCTCTGGCTGGCTGGCATGCAGATGTGGGATGGGCAGGGGCAGCTCTCTTCTCGGGCTGGAATTCACTGGCGGGAGAACCAGAGGCTCTGGAGGGGCCCTTGACCCCTTCTGGGGGGCGGCCCCACTTCCTGGAGGAGCACAGAGGAGGACGTGCAGGGCGTGAGTCCCAGGCTTACAGGAGCCTGCATCCCTGCCGCTCCCTGGGCCCTGGGACAGCCGTGAACGAGACAGAGCTGGGCCCTGGGCCCCGGTGCAGGGGCAGCAGGAAACAGACAAGAAACTCGCAAACACGGGAGGAGGCTGGGGAGCAGCTGAGGGGACAATCCGGGCCGGGGACTCTCTGAAGACGTGAGTGAGGAGAGGGAGGATGGCGTTCTAAGAACAGGGACCGTCACCACTGCACAAAGCCGAAGCAGGGGCGGAGGCCGAAGCAGGGGCAGGGACCGTCACCAGTACACGAGGCCGAAGCAGGGGCGGGGACCGTCACCAGTGCACGAGGCCGAAGCAGGGGCGGGGACCGTCACCAGTGCACGAGGCCGAAGCAGGGGCGGGGACCGTCACCAGTGCACGAGGCCGAAGCAGGGGCGGGGACCGTCACCAGTGCACGAGGCCGAAGCAGGGGCGGGGACCGTCACCAGTGCACGAGGCCGAAGCAGGGGCGGGCGGCGGGCGGTGGTGGCAGTGTCCAGAGTGCACACCCTCAGATGAACAGCCAGGGCGCTGACTCCCCGCTGCCAGAGAGAACACACATGGTCCTGGGCACCATGGGGCATCTCAGGAAGGGGAGTCCAGAGGAATCACAGGATCTGAGCTTCCACTGGGCGGCTTGGGCACAGGCTGAGGAAGCCAGGCTGTGCTCTGGCGTGGGTGCTGTCAGGAACAGGAGGCTCTGTGATCTGGGATCTTGTCATTCTCATCCGGGAAGTGGGGCAGGAGGAGCAAGGCCGTGGCTGTCACTGAGGGCAATGGGAAGTCCCGGTTGCAGCAGGAAAGGGGATTGCGGTCCCTGCTGCTGTGTGGGCGAGCATCTTCTTCACATCTTGCTCTGCAGGGACACAGAGCGGGGCATCCATGGTCTGTGGAATTCCTTGTGTTCAGTAGAACACCGTGGTCTCCCAGTGGCTGCTGTTCCCACAGAGCTCAGGCTCCTGTGCAGGGATGGGAAGGTTAGGATGCGCCTTGCGGGGAGTAGACCAAGGGCTCCAGGAGCCTTGGGCTGAGAGTGTTGGGGAAGCCACCAGCGGGTTAGGCAGGTCCCTTGGGACAGCCGAGGAGCAGAGGTGGACACTGGGCCACCTGTAGGAAAGGGCCATTGTGGGGAGAGAGCTGAGGGTACCCTGGACCCGGCTGTGATGGAGAAGGGAGAAGTGGCACATTCAGGGTCTTTGGAAGGTGGACTGGGCAGATCCCAGCCAGAGGGCAATGCGTGACGCTGCTGTGAGCCAGGCAGGGTGGGCTGCTGCAGGCGTGAGCCCAGGGCTCTGGGCAGAGACCTGGGCATGAGGGCACAGGGTGGACAATCAAGGGGTGCTCAACCTTCAGAGGCCGAGCACAGATAAGCCTTCACAGAGGTGGGCAGGGAGGCAGGAGGAGGGGTTGCAGGGCCAGCAGTGCTGCGGACCAGGGCAGGATGAGAAGAGGGGGTGACGGCTGCATCGGTGAGGGGCGGTGGGGACCTGCACTAAGAGAGCCTCAGGAGAGAAGAGAGCAGAGGCTTGGGGAGAGGGTTCAGGAAGATGACGGGCACGGACAGAGCTGGAGGGTCCCTGACAGCCGAAGCTGCCCGCCATTTCCACGCCCCAAAGCTGGCTTGGAAATCAAAGCTACAGCACTGAGCCCCCGACCACTTATGGGCCAGCCCCTCACAGGGTCAGACATGGCTCCTGGGTGTCACACATACCTCCACTTGGCCAGTGCCACAAGAATCTGTCTGTGGTCCGTGGGCACAGAGAGGCGGAGCCATTTGCCTGAGGCCTCCCGGCAGCAGGGGCGAGGTCCTGACTCACAGACCACACCCCATCTTGCCCCCTCCCCTGGGCAGCTGTGGTCAGGCTGGACATGCACACAGCCCTGAGTTCAGATCTCGCCTGTGCCAGGCACCAGCTGTGTGGTTTTGGGCAAGCCACTCGTCCCCTCTGTGGAGGGAAGGACAGGTATCCCTGTACCCTGCGGCTGTGGTGAGGTACAGAACTGGAGCCCTGTCACCCCAAGTCACGTGTTCGGCAGCTGTGTGAGGGTTAGATGTCTCAGGAGGGGAGGAGGTGACGGGGCCTTTGTGAGGGGCTCACAGGCTGCAGAGGGGACAGATGAGTTTATGGCACTCATGATGGTTTTGTGGGTGCAGGCCCACCTCCAGACTCACCCAGTTGTCTACATTCAATATCTAAAGCCTTCTGTATACCAATCATACCTCAATAAAGTGGTTAAAAACAGAAAAAGAATATAATTTTTTTAAAAAAATGGAAGAGCAGGCTGGGCACGGTGGCTCATGTTTATAATCCCAGCACTTTGGGAGGCTGAGGCAGCTGGATCATAAGGTCAGGAGTTTGAGACCAGCCTGTCCAATATGGTGAAGCCCCATTTCTACTAAAAAATAACGAAAATTAGCTGAGGCATGGTGGTGCACACCTGCAGTCCCAGCTACTCAGGAGGCTGAGGCAGGAGCATCGCTTGAACCCAGGAGGCAGAGGTTGCAGTGAGCTGAGATTACACCATTGCACTCCAGCCTGGGTGAGAGTGAGATTCCATCTCAGAGAAGAGGAAGAGCGGGTGAAAGCCCTGCTCCCCAGGGAGCTGTGAAGACAGGGCGGGCGGCCCTGGGTCCCACGAAGCACAGATGCGTTTCAACAGCAGGTGCTGAAAGGCTGTACCCTGCCCTTGGAAGGGGGCAGGGCATGGGGTCCCTGGGCCAGGAACAGAGACAGGAGCAGGCCGGGATCAGGGCTGAGGGTGCCCCAAGGGCAGGGTGGAGACACCCTGGGAAGAGTTTACATCTGACGGGGCTGAGTTGGCCTCATGAGGCCACGGGGACCAGGCCAGGGGTTTACACCTGAAGGGGTGGCAGGTGCGGCCTCCTCCAGCCGGAGCTGCCACTGCCCCCCACCCTTCCTCGAGGCTCCTCCACGAGGGCCCTGACTGCAGCCTGTCTGCCGCAGCTGGGCGAGGCGTCCCAGGTGGAGACGGTGTCGGAGGAAAACAAGAGTCTGATGTGGACGCTGCTGAAGCAGCTGCGGCCGGGCATGGACCTGTCCCGCGTGGTGCTGCCCACCTTCGTCCTGGAGCCGCGCTCCTTCCTGAACAAGCTCTCCGACTACTACTACCACGCAGACCTGCTCTCCAGGTGAGCGCCATGCTGGGAGGGCACCCCGCACCTCGCCCTGCATCTGCAGGAGACCCGCAGCCCCTCAGCCCCTGCCTCCCCTGTGGGGGCTTCCAGAGTCCCCTGGCTGATCTCAGCCCACTGTTCCTGCAGCACTCCCCTCCCAGGGGGCCCTGTCTCCAAGGTGGGCCTGGGAGGAGCTGGTGAAGGGGGAGCATCAGGGCCAGGGCCATCTGTGGTAAGAGGGGGCTCAGTCCCAAGCACCTGCCATGCACCCTGAGCCCTGCACCCTCAAGCTGGAAGGGATGGGATACAGAGGCCGGAAGGGGGCTTCAGGCTTGGGAGCCAGGCAGAGGGAGCAGGGTGGGGGCAAGAGTGTGGGCGGGATGCTTCCTGGAGTTGGGGGCACCCTGGCACAACAGTACCCTCTCTGCCCCAACGGGGGAGCAGCCCTGGCACCTTCCGACCAGAAGAACCCACTTCCCTGGAGAAAATTCTGCTTGGGGGTGGCCAGAGTACCTGGGCCAGGCAGCTGAGTGGGTGGAGGTTGGGATGGTAGGAGGGAGGGGTCAGGGAACACGAGGGTGGCCTATGGCCCTCTTAGCGGGGGTCTGCATTCTCCCGCCCTGTGGCAGGGCCGCGGTGGAGGAGAACGCCTACAGCCGCATGAAGCTGGTGCTGCAGTGGTACCTGTCTGGCTTCTACAAGAAGCCCAAGGTGAGCCCCTGCCAGCCGGGGAGGGGGGTGCTGCAGCCCACAGGTGTGTCTGCTCAGCCCTCTTCCCTTGGCACTTTCCCTTGTCCCCGGGCCGCCCCCTACTCCACATGGCCTTGAGGGACCCTGCTTACCCCACAGAGGGCCCAGGTCCTTGGTGATGGGGGGCAGGGCCCCACTTCCCACAGCGGGGTTCTGGGTGGCTCAGGCCAAGCCCCCAAGGGTGGTCTCGGTTCCCTGAAAGGCCCAAGCTGGACTCCTTCCTTATCCCCCAAGAAAACAGCCTCAGGCCGTGTTAGAGATGGTGCCAAAAGACAGAGGCTTTCAACCCTGAACCTCGAGGAACCTTTGGGAGCTGTGGTTTTCCTAAATTTTTAGCCATGGAGCCCCCTTTTAGAACCACAAACCCAAGACTCCAATGACAGCAGGCTGCTCTGGTTATAGTGAGGGACAGGTGCCTGCAGCTCCCCTGACCTCACCACAGAGCCCTGGGGCTCCCTGGGAAGCAGGTTTGAAAACCACAATCCTGGTTCCACTTCTTCATTGTGCGGATGGGGAAATTGAGGCTCGGTGAGGGAAAGGATGGCCTGAGTCACATAGCAGGTGTGGGGTGGAGGTGGGACTCCTGACTGCCTGGTGCCCTCCGTGGCCTTCAGCAGGCTGTGTTCAAGCTGCAACCAAGGTCCAAGGAGAGTGTGACAAGGTTGGGGTCTTGTGTCCCTCCTCCAAGCTAAGAAGTGGACAGGATTCCCCTGAGGCTATCCCCCAAGAATGTAAACCACAGGCAAAACAATCCCACCAAATCAGAAGTGAGGTGCTGTTCCCAGATGCTAGCAGCAAACCAGGCCAGCAGGCAGCGGGCAGCCCACCCATGCTGCCCCCCAGGCCACATCCCTCACCTGTTCTGCAAAGCGGGCCCCTTACCCGCCCAGCTCCTCACGTGAGTCTCTGTTGTGTGCAGGGAATCAAGAAGCCCTACAACCCCATCCTGGGGGAGACCTTCCGCTGCTGCTGGTTCCACCCCCAGACTGACAGCCGCACGTTCTACATAGCAGAGCAGGCAAGAGCCCCTCCGCTGCACCCAGCCTGGGGGCTGGGCTCGTGGGGGGGCAGGGCCCTGGCAGTGGGCAGGAGCAAGCATGGCCCCGAGAGCCCACTTCCTAGGCGTCCCACATCCTGCCCAGTGGAAGGGCTGTGGACCCCGACGCTGCCAACAGGGGTTCTCGCAGAAGGTACAGACATCTCCATGGCGGTGACAGCAAACGGCATCTCCCTAGGGAGGGGACAGAGCATTCCATCTCTCAAGGGGACCTTCTGGGGCAGTCAGGATTCCTGAGCCCCACATGGAAGCCTGTCTGCCCTGGGCATCGTGAGCGGTAGCCAGGAAGGCCCCTACCTGAATCCTGGGACAGGGATGGGGGTGCATCCCAGACAGGGAGGGGTTTTCTTTGAAGCTGGGCTCCTGCTTCCTGGGATGATCTGTTTCTGAGCTGTTTACAGAGCCGCCTCTCTGCACACAGGTGTCCCACCACCCGCCCGTGTCTGCCTTCCACGTCAGCAACCGGAAGGATGGCTTCTGCATCAGTGGCAGCATCACAGCCAAGTCCAGGTTCTACGGTGAGGAGGTCACCCCGGGCGCCCCTGGGGCTGCAGGAGCCAGTGGGCCAACGTCTCAGCTGGGGGCCATGTGCCTGTCCCTCCCGACCCTTGTAGTCAGAGACCACCATGGTCAAGTGCTCACACCCGGGCATCAGGCAGAGCTTGCCCGCAGCTCCTGAGCTGAGAGTGGGCACCTTTTGTAGGGACGCCTTGAGAACTGATAGAGGCATCTGCGTGGAAAGGTGTGGACCCGGGCTGAGCAGCCCCAGAGCGCTGCATGGCTGTGTGAATCTACTAAAATGAAACTTAAGGCCGGGTGCAGTGGCTCACGCCTGTAATCCCAGCACTTTGGGAGGCTGAGGTGGGCGGATCACATGAGGTCAGGAGTTCAAGACCAGCCTGGCCAACATGGCAAAACCCTGTCTCTACCCAAAATATAAAAATTAGCTGGGCCTGGTGGTGGGCGCCTGTAATCCCAGCTACTTGGGAGGCTGAGGCAGGAGAATCGCTGAAACCTAGGAGGTGGAGGTTGCCATGAGCTGAGATGGTGCCATTGCACTCCAGCCTGAATGACAGGATGAGACTCTGTCTCCAAAAAAAGAAAAAAATGAAACTGAAACCAAAGACTTTCTGTGGCCACATCACAGCCCTCAGTGTTGGCCCCAGAGTGGGACGGGGAGGGGATCTGTGGTCTTTGCAGCAGCCCCACTGGCCTGCCCTGCTTTGGGGCCTGGCGGCTGCAGGTGCACAAAAAGTGGCCGTTTCCGTGTCTTCCCAACGGTCGCACGTTTCCCGTCGGTTCCGTCACGGGTGGGCGTGTGCTGGCTGCCTCTGTGCGCCTGGCTCTCCTGGATGTGTGGAAGTCTGGGAGGGGCCCACGTGCCACTGCCCTCCCGTTCAGCCCACCTTTTCCACCTCTGCCCCCTCCTCACTGGCCATGCCCATGACTTGGCCCTTCCACAGGGATGTTTAAAGTCTGAGGGGGCACTCAGGCAAGTTTGAAAAGGTTTGCAGCCTCCACCCTGAGAATCTTCAGTTTGGTGGCTGCAGTAAACCAGTAACAAGTCAAAGATGAAACAACTTCTCAGCGCAGATGTCACATACACACCGGACGGGGATTTGACAGAATCTCAGGCCCAGGGAGGTTAAGTGATGCACCCACAGTCACACTGCTGGAGGTGCCAGGAGCGCGTTTGGCTGATGGAAGGAGCTCTGACCCGCTGACTCAGGGTCAGCCACAGGTGTGAAGGGGCTGTCTGCACTCACTGGTCCTTCTGCCTCTTGTCTCTGCAGGGAACTCGCTGTCAGCTCTGCTGGATGGCAAAGCCACGCTCACCTTCCTGAACCGAGCAGAGGATTACACCCTCACCATGCCGTACGCCCACTGCAAAGGTGAGAGGCTCAGCTACCCACCCCAAGGGCAGAGCCAGGCTCTTCCCTCAGTGACGTCAGCTGGGCGATAAACCCCTTTAGTTATTTGCTGGAAGATATATTTACTTCACCTTCACTCACCCCTGATTTTTTTTTTTTTTTTTTTTTGAGACGGAGTTTTGCTCTTGTTGCCAGACTGGAGTGCAATGGTGCGATCTCGGCTCACAGCAACCTCCACCTCCCAGGTCAAGTGATTCTCTTGTGTCAGCCTCCTGAGTAGCTGGGATTACAGGCATGCGCCACCACGCTCAGCTAATTTTGTATTTTTATGAGTGATGGGGTTTCGCCATGTTGGTCAGGCTGGTCTTGAACTCCCGACCTCAGGTGCCCCGCCCACCTCAGCCTCCCAAATTACAGGCATGAGAACCACCACGTCCGGCCTGGCCCGTGACTTCTGAAGGTGCGTCATTCCAGGTAGATTGCTGTCCTACCGCCCTTTCAACACATGCATTTTGTTTGCCTTCTGGCTTGCATTGCTGTCTGGGATGATCAGCTGTCAGCCCTTTTGTTACATAATCTGCTCTTCCCTGTAAGCTGCTTTGAAGAAACTCTCCCTGCCTTGGTGCTCTGTAGTCTTGCTATAGTGTGTCAAAGTTTGGATGTCTTTGGATTTTTTTCATTAATAGACTTTTTTTTTTTTAAATAATAGTGTTGTGTTTACAGAAGAATTGAGCAGGAATACAGAGTTCCTGTGTGTCCTTCACACAGTGCCCCCTGTCTTTAACATCTCACATTGAGGTGCTACATTTGGTACCGTCGATGAGCCAGTCCTGATACATTGTTATTAGCTGAGTGTACAGGTCCCTTCTCTTGGCTTCTTGTGTTGCTCATTATATGGGTTTTGATTAAGACAGAAGGACCTGAATCTGCCATTACTGTATCTCACAGAATAGTCGCACCACTCTAAAAATATCTTATGACGAGACATGAATAGATGGATCCACATACTGCTCTGTCCCCCTAGCCTCTGGCCACAACTGATCCTTTACAGCCTCCATAGTTTTGCCTTTTCCAGAATGTCCTGTAGTTGGAATCATATGGCATGGAGCCTTTTCAGATTAGCTCCTTTCACTTAGCAGTACGCACGTAAAGATTCCTCCACTGGGCATCCCTGCACTTTGGGAGGCCGAGGTAGGGGCATTGCTTGATGGGGAAGTTCAAGACCAGCCTGGGCAACATGGTGAAACCCTGTCTCTACCAAAAATACCAAAAAATTAGCCAGGCGTGGTGGTGCACTGGTGGTCCCAGCCTTGGGAGGTTGAAGTGGGAGGATTACCTGAGTCCAGGAGGTAGAGGCTGTGGGGGGCCTCATGACACCAGTGCACTCCAGCCTGGGCAGCAGAGTGAGACCCTGTCTCAAAAAAAAAAAAAAAATCCTCCTTTTATGACTTGATAGCTCTGGATATCTTTTTAATTTTTACTGACTGAGGATTTTTGTTTGTTCCAACTCTTTGAACCTGAGGTTTCGTGGCATTGATCAAGTCTGGAAATTTTTAGCCATTATTATTTTTTTAAGGACCTCACTCCTGATTTCTCCATTTTTCCTAGAACTCCAGTGAGACCGAATTTAAACTATCTCCTTCTTTGCTTCCTCTCTCTTAATGTTTCCATCATTCTTTTATTTGTTTGCATTCTAGATAATTTATTTAGATGTATCTTTTACTCTATAATTAACTTGACATGTGACTCATTCACTGAGTTTTCTATTTTGATATTTTGTTTCCCAAGAAGTTCTACTCTTTTTCAAACCTGTTGTTCTTTTTTCTTTCTCTCCTTTTTTTAAGATGGAATTTTGCTCTTACTGCCCAGGCTGGAGTGCAGTGGCACCATCTCCATTCACTTTAACCTCCGCCTCCTGGGTTCAAGCAATTTTCCTGCCTCAGCCTCCCAAGTACCTGGGATACAGGCATGTGCCACCACACCTGGCTAATTTTGTATTTTTAGTAGAGACTGGGTTTCTCCACGTTGGTCAGGTTGGTCTTGAACTCCTGACTTCAGGTGATCCACCCGCATCAGCCTCCCAAAGTGCTGGGATGACAGGAGTGAGCCACCGCACCTGCCTTTCCTGTTCTTGTATACTGGTACCTGTTCCTTGGTCATGTTTGCAATCCTTTCTTACAAATCTTTGAGCATTGTAATAAAAATTGTTTCATCATTTCTATTTGGCCATTCTCATAGTCTAATTTGTTTGCGGCTGGGTCCCCTCTGTCCACAGCGATGCCCTCAAAGATGCTCAATAGTTATTCAAAGAATGGCTGAATTCCCTTGGGATTCTAATTTTGCTGGTGTTTTGTTACTGTTTTGCTGCCTGAAGTTGTTTGACTGCCCCTCACATTTTCTTAGCAAGTTGTTTCTGGGACACAGAAGTGTAGGTTTGAATCCCAAACTCACCTCATGCATTCATGGAGAGGGTTTCTTTTTAACCCCTAGAGCACAGGCCGATGCAGGGGTCCCCTTGACTCTCCCTCTGGGACGAATGGGCTTTCTGCAGCTGTTTCTTTTGCTAATGGCGTAGCCAAGTGAGAGTGCCTACTGTGTGGAAATGTCTCAGAAAAAACTCTCCTGGTTCCTCTGACCCAAGGACCTGTCTACCACTTCCCAGGAGAACCTCAGAAACCAGGATCTCAGATCAACAAATGCCCCTCCTCCTTTCCCCCCTCCTCCCACTCCCCTTCTCCATCTCCCCCTCCCCCTCCCCCTCTTCCTCCTCCTTTCCCTCTTTATTCTTCTTCTGGGGGAGTTCCCATATTTTCTTGTACGCTCATTGACTCACCCATGTTTCATATATTTTTTTCAACTTTGTATTACGGCAAAGTTCAAACATATGTGTCCGGTTCCCCCACGAACCCACAGCACAGCAAGCCACTCACCTTCATGCTCTCCCCCAAGTTAATTGGTGGTAAATCCCAGACATCATGTCATCTGAGTATTTTATTTTATATCACTAAAAGATAAGGATTTCCCTTTTTCTTGTTTGTTTGTTTGTTTGAGAAAGAGTCTCACTGTGTCCCCCAGGCTGGAGCCCAGTGGCACCATCTCAGCTCACTGCAACTTTTCCTCACAGGTTCAAGCGATTCTCCTGCCTCCGCCTCCTGAGTGGCTGAGATTACAGGCACCTGCCACCATGCCTGGTTAATTTCTGTATTTTAGTAGACACGGGGTTTCACCATGTTGGCCAGGCTGGTCACAGATTCCTGACCTCAAGTGATCTGTCTGCCTCGGCCTCCCAAAGTGCCGGCATTACAGGCGTGAGCACTGCACCCAGCCAGGATTTCCCTTCTTGACCGTAACTAAAATACTATCACCAGACCAAAAAAAAAAAAAAAAAAAACCCACTCTTCCTTGTCGAGTCTGCAGTCCACATTTGGATCCCCAGTTGCAATGCGCCTGCATCCTGCTACCCGCCCCCTCGAGACAGCTGGCTGTTTGGCCGGGTCTCCGTGTGTGGCCGCGCTCTGCGCACGGCTGCCCCGTTTCCCTCCTGTTTTTCCCTGCAGTGTGTTCATGTCTCCGCCGTAGCCCCTCCAGTGTGGATTTTTTCTGGCTGTGTTCCTGTGCCCTGGGGATTTCCTATACACCATCAGTTGCTTTGATCCCTAGATGCCCGATCATGTTCAGCACAATTTTTTCAGCATGACGCTTCATCGAAGGTTTTGTGTGTTTCCACAGCAGGGCTCACGGGGCCCGCTGTTCTCTGTGACATTCGTGGACTTGATTCTCATGCCTGCACCCGTTCCCATGTCAGGCATTGCAAGATGGTGACACTCCATCCTCCTTCACTTCATCACTGGAAGGCTTCTCAAAAGAGAAACTTCCCCTTGTCCACTACACAGCTACCCAACAGGACTGGTTTGTTTTAGGAGAAATCCCAGGTTTTTTAATCTTTTCAAAATAATGAGGTTTTTCCCCTGCTGTCTTCCCAAGGTGACTGGCGAAGGTGATTATTGCCACGTATTATTTGACAGGAACGCATTTGATGTTTTAGAACGTTTCATTGTTCACTTTATTGATACTGAAATTGCCCCATCTTTGGCCGCTGGGGGCCATCGTTGGCTCCGGAGCCCCCTGCACACCCTAGCAGCCCTGCCGGTGTCCCCCCTTCCACCCGGACCGCATGTGCACCCTGCACATTGCCTGCACCGGACTTCAAATCGGCCATTTCTCCAGAGAGCTCCAGTTCCTTTCACTAGGAAATAACATGTAGTGACCACAATCTCAGGGGCAGGTCTGTTTTGTTTTTCTTTCTTTCTTTTTTGAGACAGACTCTCACTCTGTTGCCCAGGCTGGTGTGCAGTGGTGCAATCTTGGCTCACTACAGCCTTGACCCTGGGCCTTCCTCTCCCTGGAGCCCACAGACCCCTCGAAGCTGCACAGAGCTACTCTTTCGTCTTTCCAGGCGCGTAGCTTTCCACCGTGTGCGTGGCCAGGATGTGCTCGCACAGCACCCTCCGGAGGGACTTGGGGGTGCCTCAAGCCTTTGTCACGACAAGTAGCTTGTCGCTGTTTTCTTCATGTTTAAGACGCATATCTCCCACACATTTCTAAGTGGTTTTCAGAGTGCCAATGTTTGCGTTTCGATGGTGGCCGTGGTGGTGGCATTCTTTAATTAGATTAACTCCTCCAAACGCTGGAAATGGGGGAGTTGTTCTTTCCTTCATTAATTGAAAAAAGATGCATTAATTTTTTTAAACATATGGGATGCTATCCTGGGTACTGCTGCCTGCTCTGTTCTGGGTGCCAGCCTGGGTCGCAGCAGTGAGCAGGAAGATGCCTGCCCTGGGGAGCATGACGTCACAGCAGGAACCATGGAGTCAAGTGAAGCACACGTGTGTCTCACGGGGCTGGTGGCCTCCGGAGCCTGGAGTAGGAGGCGAGACCCGGACATGCGAAAAGGCGGCGAGGACAGTGTCCCCTTAGTGGGGAGATGGCCCCCGAGGGACCAGGCATGCCTCCCGGGCTCCACAGCCCACCAGCCTCTCCACGTGGGGCTCTGCTCCCAGCACCTCTTATCCTTCTCACCCTCCCAGAGACTGGCACAGGCCTCCTCCCAGGGGTTGGTGCTGCTGGGTCGGGACTCAACAGGGCCTGGGGCTCAGCAGAGCTGGGGCAGCATAGGCCCTGACACTGGCTGCATTTCAGGACTCCTGTATGGCACGATGACCCTGGAGCTGGGTGGGAAGGTCACCATCGAGTGCGCCAAGAACAACTTCCAAGCCGAGCTGGAATTCAAACTCAAGGTAGTGCTAGCCGCAGCCTGGGGCAGGCAAAGCCAGGGAAGGAACGAGGCCTCGGGGATCCTCCTGCACCCTCCCCACCCCCCAAGGAAGGTTCCCCAAGGCAGTGCACACAAGGAGAGCAGCTCTTGACATCCCACAACACAGACAGGGCCCAGAAAGGGGAGGCTGGTGCCTGCAGCCTCACAGCAGAGCCAGCTCAGGGCCTGTCTCCGTGGCAGGGACCCTGCATCCTTGAGCAGAGGTGTGGGGGTCATAAAAACCTTGCTGGCTACTCTTGGTTGGGTCTGTCCCTCCTGGGCTCCCAGGCACCCCAAGAGAATAACTGTTCCATGCCCCCATGGGGATGTGACTCTGGAGGGTCCCCAGCCTCTGCTCATGGGTTATGTTCTGGGTGTGGCCCTGCAGCCCTTCTTCGGGGGCAGCACCAGCATCAACCAGATCTCGGGAAAGATCACGTCGGGAGAGGAAGTCCTGGCGAGCCTCAGTGGCCACTGGGTAAGGGGCCAACCCTCAGGGTAGGCACGGCTGGGCAGTCATCACCAGGCCCACCTCTGACCCCGCTGGCCATCTGGGGCAGGATAGGGACGTGTTTATCAAGGAGGAGGGGAGTGGAAGCATCGCGCTTTTCTGGACCCCGAGCGGGGAGGTTCGCAGGCAGAGGCTGAGGCAGCACACGGTGCCACTGGAGCAGCAGACAGAGCTGGAGTCTGAGAGGTGAGGCCTGCTGGTGCCCAGGGACCCTGCTGGCCACAGCCTGGCTACAGTGCTGTGAGCAAGGCCCCAGGATGTCCCTGGCTGGGAGGGCAGCCTGGCGGAACCCTCAGAGCAGATTGCATGTCCCAGAAAGGACAGATGGAGGGAGGGGGTGTGGCCTGGAGAGGAGCAGCCTCCCCTGACCCCTCACTGGTGGTGGGTGACCAACAGCTGCCCAGGGAGGTCCCTACAGGTGGGAGGTGGGAGCTCAGTGCTGGAAAAACCCATCTCATGGACAAAAGAAAAGCTCCCTTTAAGGTAGTGAGCTCCCTGTTATTGGAGGCAATCAGGCAGAAGTTGCTCTGTGCCTTCCTTCCGGTGCCAAGGGGCCCTGATTCCCAGTTGCCTAAGGGGTGGTGGGGCTGTCCGGGCCTCTGGCTTAGGGCGGGTCACTGGCCCGCAGGCTCTGGCAGCACGTCACCAAGGCCATCGGCAGTGGCGACCAGCACAGGGCCACGCAGGAGAAGTTTGCCCTGGAGGAGGCGCAGCGGCGGCGGGCCCGCGAGCGGCAGGAGAGCCTCACACCCTGGAAGCCGCAGCTGTTCCACCTGGACCCCGTCACCCAGGAGTGGCGCTACCGCCATGAGGAGTGCGTGCCGGCACAGCCCTGGGGCTGCAGGGTGGGGCTGGGCTGAGAAGGGCCCAGCGGTCCCCGCTTCCCTCTCACCTTCACTCTATCCCCTGGAGGAGCCGGTGGGGGAGGGTCAGATAGTGACACCCGCCACCACCGCCCCGCCAGTCCTTACTGCAGGCCCTGCCCGTGGGTGTGGGCAGTGGTCACTCTCCTGGAGGTCTCTGGCCACTGTTGGAGGAGCTGACAGCTGGGCCAGGACAGCCCCCTCGCCTGAGGCCCACTGCCTGTGCTGATGGACGCCCTGTGGACCCTCTAGCCGCAGCCCATGGGACCCCCTGAAGGACATCGCCCAGTTTGAGCAAGACGGGATCCTGCGGACCCTGCGGCAGGAGGCTGTGGCCCGCCAGACCACCTTCCTGGGCAGCCCGGGGCCCAGGCACGAGGTCAGCACCCTGCAGGCCCCACCCAGGCTGGTCCTAGTGGCCACACCTCGCTCCTCACCTGGCTCCTCCCCCTCACTGTGTTCAGCCTTAGCTGGGGCACCCGCTTAGGCCCTCACGCCCTCATCCCCCAGTCCCCTCGTCCCTCCCCTTCCCTTTCCTGCCCCGTATGGGACTCAGGAACCAGAATGTGCAGGACGCTGAGTTCCAGGCCACCTCGGTGTGTGTCGGGGTCTACTGTCTCTCAGCCCACTGCCCCCAAAGCCTCTGTCTGCCAAGTTAGCAGCCACATGATCCCATTCCACTGATAAGGAAATGGAGGCCCAGGGCCCTGCCAGGTAGGAGGGGGAGGAGCCAGCACTGGCACAGATCTTGGGCCTGGAAGGGGTAAGCAGGACACAGGGAGGCTCCAGGGAGGAGCCGGAGGAAGCCACCTTGGGTGTGTCTTGGTGCCTTGCCCTGGACGGCCACCAGGTGGTGCCCGACCCACATGCACCCATTCCAGGTGTGCGCACACCTACTGTGTGCAGAGCGCGGCCGGTGCTCACCTGCAGCAGGCGGGATGGGGGCATGTTCCCCAGGTGGTGCCATCTGGGCCACACTCAGATGAGAAGCCATGCTTGCCTGGTGGCCCCAACTTCCCCAGAAAGCTGGGGGTGGTGGTATCTCCCTGGCCGCACGTCCCATGCTGTGTGCGGAGGGACCAGGGAAGACGCCTCAGGAAGGCAGATGCAGCCTGCACCCCTCTGTCTGCAGCACAGCTGCCAAGTCCCCGGCTCAGCCCAAACCACCTTCCCTTGGCCCAGCCCCTCCCAGTCCCACTCCTCCTCCCCTCCCTCCCCACCTCCAGCAGATGTCCACCCCCAGTGCCCTCTGCAGCCACCCATTCCTCGGCCTCTGCAGTCAGGCTGGGCCCCACCAAGCCTCAAACAGCGTCCCAAGGAGTACCTTGTGGCCAAACCCACCGGCCCCACCTCTGACCACACCTAATGTGGAGTGTCCCTGGCATCTCTCTGGCCCTGAAGGCCTGTTGTTACACGGTGGTCCCACGGCCAGGCTCTGCTTTCCCCACCCTGAGCATTGGTTTCTGTCCTGGGTTCCTTGTGAACTCAAATAAGGCTGAATGGACGAGCCCTGCCTGCACTCCTGGGACGGTGCACAGCCAGCTGAGTCTGGGGGATCCCCCCTGGGGCTGTCCCTTGACGTGGGGAACCCTAGACATCTGGGGTTCCTATGGACCCCACCAGCTCACACAGTGGCCTCAGCTTTCATCTGTCCTTGTGACTCTGGGGTCAGAACCACCCATGGCCCCCATGCCATCATCTCTCCATTTATCGGGTTCAACCCCATGGTGGCACAGGGCAGGCCTGTCTGCACCGCCTCGTAGGCCCTTGTCACTGTGAGGGTCAGCAGCCCTGTGTCACCAATGAGGAAACAGGCCCAAAGGGGGCATGGCTACTCCAGGCCATGCTGGGGCTGAGACGACCCCTCTAGCCAGCTCCACACCAGCAGCTGTCTTCCCTGCCGGCTGCTGCCTCATGTCCCAGGGTCTGGGCAGGGGGCATGAGTGGCTCTCAGCTGCAGTGGCTCCATTTCTCTGCAGAGGTCTGGCCCGGACCAGCGGCTTCGCAAGGCCAGCGACCAGCCCTCCGGCCACAGCCAGGCCACAGAGAGCAGTGGGTCCACGCCAGAGTCCTGCCCAGAGCTCTCGGACGAGGAGCAGGATGGTGACTTCGTCCCTGGTGAGCACCCCGGCCTAGCCCCACGGTCCCTGTCTGTGTGCAGAGCGCAGCTGGTGCTCGCCCACAGCAGGCAGAATGGGGCATGTTCCCTGGCTGATGCCATCCAGGCCAGCTGACGCCCCTCTCTGGTGGACGCCTCAGATGCCACCTGGCTGGAGGAGAGTCCAGAGAAGCCCCTGCCCAGGTGTAGGGCAGTCTCCCAGCAGAAGCTCCTCTGCCGCCCTGAGGGGCCCCCAGCATGCTCTGGCCTCTCAGAGTCTGGGGGGCAGCCCAAGGGCCAACGAGGGGCAGGGTGGGGGCGGGGAAGAAAGGGAATGGGCCCAGGCCAGGAGCTCCCCAGCCGTGGGGGCGGCTTGAGGGGCAGGTCTGTTGGCATCCTCCCCAGCCCTCTGCTCCTCTCCTGCCACCAGGAGCTGTGTCTGCCCAACTTTGTCCCTGCCTCTGTAGTGGATGAGCCTTGTCTTGGCCAGTCAACCTCCTGCTAGAGGCTGGTCTAGCCTAGGGGTTCCCTCCAGAAACACCCTCAGTGCCCTCCCTCATCTCTGGGTCTCCGGCTTGGCCCTGCATGTTTCCCATGAGTGGGTAGAGGCCCAAGCTGGATGTGACCCGTGACCCACATGCCGGCCCCCCAGATCTCCAGCTCACCGTCGCTTCTCCCCTCCCCTCCTGTGTCTCCCTCGGGGCTGTCCCAGGCAGCGAGAGCCCCTGCCCTCGGTGCAGGAAGGAGGCGCGGCGGCTGCAGGCCGTGCACGAGGCCGTCATCTCCGTCCGAGACGGCCAGCAGGAGCTGCACAGGTGGGCCATACTCCGGGTGTCCATCCGGGCTCCGGGTCAGAGAGGACAGGGAGCTGGTGGAGCTACGGCAGGAGGCGGGGAGGCCAGGAGGCTGGGACCGGGGGTGTCACTGGAGCAGGAACCCACAGACCTGCAGGGTAATGAAAACCACCAGGGGCAAGAGAGAGGCTGTGAGAGGGGCAGGCGGTGCAGGGAGTTCAACTGGCCACGTTGGCCATGCCTGGCAGACACTGAGCCAGAGATGTCCTGGAGCTTAGAGGAAGGTGCCAGCCCGGTATAGCCTGGGGTAGCCCCAGGAGAGACCCCAAGGTACGAGGGCTGAGATGGCAGCCTGGGCTTACTGCAGCGCCCCGCACCTGCACACCGTGGCTTCTCAGGAGTGGCTGAGGAAGGAGCCAATGGGATTGGCCGAGAGCCCTGGGCGTGGGCCACCAGGGCCACGTGGCCCCTTCCTGTCACCAGATACCACCGATGGGGGCACAGCACAGGGTCCATCTTGGGTCCAAAGCTCCTGGCTCTGAACCAGCCTGAGTGACTCACTGGCTATGGGACCTTGTCTGTCACATCTCAGCCTCCCGTTTGTAAAGTGGGGTTGGTAGCAGTACCCCAGAGTGGAATGCAGCCAGGACACAGGCCTGGGGCCTCTAAGAGCTGCCATTATCCCTGGGATTCCACTCTGGGTCCTGGCAGAAGAGCCCTCAGGAAAGGGCATGTGCCAGCTGTGGGGTTTGTATCCATGACCAGTTACAGATGCAGGCGGCTGGTGCGCGGAGGTGGGGATGGCACCTGCCTTTGGTGACAGCGCCCTCTCCTGTGACAGCAAAAGAACCCCCACGCCCTTCCAGAAGGGTGCTCCCGGGTGAGGCTGTGTGGGCAAAGAAACAGGGAGGCCTGGCTCCCCAGAAGCAGGTCTGCTACCAGGCAGTTGCCAGGACACAGCCAGAAGCTTCTGCAGCAAAAACCAGATCCATATCGGAAGCCAGGTTCTCCAGGGCAAAGTACTGCCAGCCAGGAGCTCAGACAGCGGCGTTTACTCCAGCTCAGGATCCAGGGTCTCCATGGCAAAGCACTCCAGCTCAGGGCCAGGGTCTCCATGGCAAAGTACTCCAGCTCAGGATCCAGGGCATCCATGGCAAAGCACTGCGGGCCACAGGCTGGAAAAGCAGCGTCTGCTCCCTCACGGTCCTGGAGGCTGGGGTCCGAGGTCTGGGTGTCACGGGGCTGGTTTCTCTGGAGACCTCTCTCCTGCCTTGCAGGCGCTACCTTCTCACCATGCCTGTCCTAACCGCCTCTTCATATAGGGACCTTCGTATACGTTCCTATGGGATCAGGGCCCACCCTAATGGTCTCAATTTAAATCAATACCTCATTAAGGACCCGATCTCCAAACACTGTCTCATCTGAGGTGGAGGGGTTCAGACTCCAACAGTGACTGTGGCAGAGGCATGATTCAGCCATAACCACAGGGGTGGCGGGAGGAGGTCAAAGACCAGCTGCCCCATCCCTGGCCCTCCTCTGCCCTGGATGTGCCCAGGGAATCCCAGTGGAGCCGAAGTGCCCTGGGGCCCTTCCCCTAACAAGCTGTCCACTCACACCTGCTCCGATGTCCCTGGAGAGCAAGAGGTGCCATCCCGTCTCCATCTCGGCTCCGTGTCCAGCACCTGGTCAAGCACCCAGGGCACCATCCTGGCCTGTGGGAGGAGGCCTTGCTGGCATTGGCACAGCCCCCACGACCTCTCCTCTGTCCTTGCAGGCACCTCTCGTTCATGCTGAGCTCCATGGCACAAGCAGCACAGGGACCAGCCCCTGGCCTCCTGCAGAGCCCGCGATCCTGGTTCCTGCTCTGCGTGTTCCTGGCATGTCAGCTGTTCATTAACCACATCCTCAAATAGGAGCCGTGGGAGCAGCTCCTGGCCAGCCCCAAGCCCTCCCTCCCAGGCACCCAGCACTTTAAGCCGGCTCCGTGGAGGCACAAAGGTCCAGCAAGCACATCCACTGTGATGGGAGGCCCAGGCACAGGAGAGGCCTGGGGCCATAAGGGCACTGCGGCCCGGGCGTGCTGGGCACCTCTCGTGGGGGCGCTGGCCTGTCTGCAGGGCCTTCTGCTCAGCACCAGCCTTAATGCTAAAGCCAAATGCAGCTTCTGCTGTGTGACTCCCTCCTGGCCATCTTGTCTCGCCAACCCAGTGCAGAGGATGGATGGATTTAGGGTGGGAGGGCCTGTCAGGGCTCTGGACAGTCACAGCCCAGCAGCAGTGGGTGGGCAGGTTTGGAAGAGCAGCCATGGAATCCCAAGTGGCCCAGGAGCACCCCTCATGCACAGATGCACAGGCCTGCCTTCCTGACACCCTGCCCACAAAGCCGGGGCCCTCCCGGTGGGGCCACTGGTGGGTGGTGGGCACAGGTGAGGGCCGCTCTGGGGAGGGCATTTTGGTTTTTTATTTCACCATGTGCTGTTTGGATGGGAGCCCCACAGAGGCAGGTCCTGGAACCACCCCACCGCCACACCTGGACGATGGCTCCAGTGGGGAAAGCGCAGGTGGAGGTGGGGGTGGGTGCAGGTGTGGGGGCGGTGCAGGGGTGTGGCTTAGCTGGCCCTGCACCCAGGTCAGGGAGGCTCAACTTCGCCACTTTACTCAGACCGATGCACAGTCTTCCCATTTTACACTTTTTTAATAAACGTAATTGCAATATTGGAGGCGAGGTGCAAGCCACAGTCAGCCTCTGCGTCTGGCCTCAGTCCCGTGTCTGTGCTGCTCTTCGTGTGCGTGCGCGTGTGTGTGAACATCGACACAACTACGTATACATACAGAGCCTTAAACTATGTCACGGTGGTGCCATCTGAGCTGGGGCGGGCGGTTCGGCGCCATCTGAGCTGGGGCGGGCGGTTCGGCGCCATCTGAGCTGGGGCGGGCGGTTCGGCGCCATCTGAGCTGGGGCGGGCGGTTCGGCGCCATCTGAGCTGGGGCGGGCGGTTCGGCGCCATCTGAGCTGGGGCGGGCGGTTCGGCGCCATCTGAGCTGGGGCGGGCAATTTCGTTTTCCAGTTTTTGTACTCATGTCCTTGTCTTCCCTCCTCCCCCATCTGGGGATGTGTATGTGCGCCACACCTTGAAATAAACAGACACATGTGTGTGTTCTCTTCTTGGGGCGCTTCTGGAGATGAGAGGAGGGCTTCCCAGGAAGACTCGACGCCAGCATGGAGCTGTGTGGAGCTGGGTGGAGGGGCCCAGAGGGAGGAGGGCGCGGAGTTCTCAGGGTGCCATGAGCAGCCAGCCCGACCTGTGGAGCCCATGCTGGGAAGCCAGGGTCCTGATGAGCCAGCTGAGGACAGGGAGTGACAGGGCGCAGAGGCACTCCAGGCACCTCAGAGGCTGCTGGGGGCCGTTGGCACAGCCCCCAACACTGGTCCCCATGCTGCCAATCACTGAAGGGGACCCCAGGCTGGACCACCTGACCCGCTGCCCCTGCCTGCCCCTTGCTTCGGTTCCCCTGTGGCCATCACCCCTGGTACTCAGACACCAAGGCCAGTGGAGCGGGCCTGTCCAGGGTGCCCCTGAAGGAGGGGTGCAGAGGGAGACTGCAGCCCAACCCTCACAGCAACCAGAGGACACAGGTGACAAGAGGGAGGGCGGCCAGGCAGCACCCAGGAGACGGGGACACAAGGGGCCTCGGCTCACCACCTTCCTCTGCAACTCCCCACCTCAACCCCCAGGGTCCCAGGAGAGGAGGGGCTGTGGCTGTGGTAGAGGGGGTCCTGACACTCAGCTCATCTGAGAAGCTGCCTGTATACCTCAGACAGAACCCCCTGAAACCACTTGGAGGATGGGGGGCTGCCTGGCTCCAGAGCCCCTGTGTGGAGGCCACACGCCATGGGGCAAACATGAGCTCCGAATGTGAGCCCCGGGCGCAACAGCCTTCGGCATCCTGACACTGGGGTAGGCTGCTCCAGACACCCTGCCAGGGACCCTCATCTTGTCTCCTGCACCCCAGGCCCATGCAGAGCAAAGGTGCTCAGCCAGATGGTCCTGCCCGGAGGCCGCCTACCCAGAGGTCCGCCTCCCACCAGCTCCAGCTGACTGCAGGGCAGGCCTGCGCCTAACACCCCAGCTCCTTCATACCCCCAGGGACAAGACTGGAATCCCCTCCAGAATTCTCCCTCTATCTTACTAGAACTGTTTATTTTTAAATTTATTTTTGAGACAAGGCCTCACTCTGCCACCCAGGCTGGACTGCAGTGGTCTGATCGCAGCTCAGCAGCCTTGACCTCCTGAGCTCAAACGATTCTCTTGCCTCAGCCTCCAGAGTAGCTGGGACTGCAGACACACACCACCACGTCTAGCTCCTTTTCTTTAGAGACAGGGGTCTCACTGTGTTGCCCAGGCTCATCTCAAACTCCTGGCCCCAAGCGGTCCTCCTGCCTTGACCTCCCAAAATGCTGGGATTTCAGCTGTGAGCCATGGCTCCCAGCCCCTTGCTAAGAACTGTTTTAAATCAACACGGAAGAGAAAGCAACCATCCCAGGAGGAAAAAACAGATTCCAGACCCTAGTGCGTCCTGGGGGCGGGGGGGAGCGGAGCATAATCCTAAGGGAATAATTGAACCGGTGCTCAAAGAGGTGTCCACGCGGGAGTGCAGGGAGCACCTCCCAACAGCCATTGCTTGGCTTCGGCATGCAGCTCTGCAGGGGTGGAAGGGAGGGCACCTGACCAGCATTCCAGATATTTAACACGGTTCATGCTTGCCAGGGACACTCTTTGGAGCTCTTGGGGCAGAATTCATCAAACCAATGTGCCATCAAGGCTGTAAGGTTCAGAGGAAATCAAGTGTTCTGAAATGGAAAGCCAGGCTGCACTGATCATACTGAAGAGAGGGCAGTCAGGGCTTATGGCTTCTCAGAAGAAAACCCTCCCTGCTGCTGACCACGTGTGCTGGTATCTCGGTTGCCGGGCTTCCTACCGATGCCAGGCTGTGACGGATTTTATGCACCAGGAGTGTTTGATTCCAGCTTTGCATTTGGCACTCTTCCTGTGTGTCTCGCTGCGCCTCTAATTGGAAGCAAGGCAGAAACCGGCACAAGGGGCCCCACTTTTCTTTCTTTCTTTCTTTTTTTGAAACAGTCTCACTCTGTTGCCCAGGCTGGAGTGCAGTGGCATAATGTTGGCTCACTGCAACTTCCACCTCCTGGATTCAAATGATTCTCCTGCCTCAGCCTCCCCAGTAGCTGGGATTACAGGTGCGCACCACCACACCCAGCTAATTTTTGTATTTTTAGTAGAGACGGGGTTTCACCATGTTGGCCAGAATGGTCTCTAACTCCTGAGCTCAAGTGATCCGCCAGCCTCGGCCTCCCAAAGTACTGGGATTATAGGCATGAGCCATCGCGCCCGGCCAGGGCCCCCAGATTTTCCAAATCTGTCCGTCTGGGATTTTGACCGCAGAGCTATGTCCGCTGAAGCCCATTCTCAGTCAGCTCGTACTTACATGGAGAGACTTGTGTGTGAGTTTATGGACTACGATTTGAGTGAACTGCATAAAGTGTTGTGCATGCCTTAAGAGAGACATACCTGCAAGGCTGAACTTCACTACACGGAATGTTTCCCCCGGCATTGCTGGCAAAGACATGGGGCTTACCACCTGTGATGATGATGCCGCCTCTCCGTTCCTGGGAAATCCTGGAGAAAGGTTACAGACGAAAGACTGGCCTGCCGACCTGCCGATGCACCTGCAGAGAAGGCTGGTGACCTGGGGGACATCCTGGGAAACCAGGATATATGTGCATTACCAGATGCACAGACTGAGGAGCAGGCAGTGACAACAAGAATCTACACTTTGAGCCGAAAGCTGCGGCGTGGTGGGTCGGGGTGCTTTAGGACTCAGTCCAGACTTGAGTTTTTTCCCAGCAACCTCACCAAAACCGTACGGTGCTGCGCCCCTTTCCTGAGAGGGCCTGTATACTCATTCTCCAGAAATACGGGTATTGGCACAAGGAAAATAGGGTCATTTCGGTTTAAAGACAGCTGTAGAATAAAATTATGAAAAACAAATAAAATAAGAAAACCCTGAATATGGTTTTTGGGTCCATCAGTGGAGGTTCCGCAGGTGAGTTTTATATGCAGACCCTGGAGAGGAAACTGGGTGGTGCTACTCGCTGATGACGGAGATGTGCAGCGCCCCGCCCCACTGATGACGGAGATGTGCAGCGCCCCGCCCCACTGATGACGGAGATGTGCAGCGCCCCGCCCCACTGATGACGGAGATGTGCAGCGCCCCGCCCCACTGATGACGGAGATGTGCAGCGCCCCGCCCCACTGATGACGGAGATGTGCAGCGCCCCGCCCCACTGATGACGGAGATGTGCAGCGCCCCGCCCCACTGATGACGGAGATGTGCAGCGCCCCGCCCCACTGATGACGGAGATGTGCAGCGCCCCGCCCCACTGATGACGAGGATGTGCAGCGCCCCGCCCCGCTGATGACGGAAGTGCGCAGCGCCACGCCTCGCTGATGACGGAATGTGCAGCGCCGCACCCCACTGATGACGAGGATGTTCGGCGCCGCGCCCCGCTGATGACGAGGAGAATGTGCGGCACGGCGCCCCGCTGATGACGGAGGTGCACAGCGCCGCGCCTCGCGCCCCTCTGCAGCAGGGCACCTGCTTGCTGGTCTCAGTCCCTGGCCCTCCCCTGCCTGAGCCTCGCCATCTGAGGGGCCATGACTGGCTAGGCCGCCTGGGCTTCTGTTCCACATCCCAGACGGGACAGGAGTGTGCAGGAGGACTGTGGCCTTTCCCCAGCCTGCCTCTGCCCCTGCCCTCAACTCCCTCAGAAAATACTGCTGGAAGTGGGAGGGACAGAGGTGGGGCGGGGGCGGGGGTGATGGCTGGGCATCAGAGCTGGAAGGGACCCCCAAGACATCTTGGTGGGGGGGGAACAAGGCTGGAGGCGGTGCTTGCCCTGGAGGAGCTGGGGAAGGGGAGGCCAGCGAGGAGCCCCCTTTTCTGCTGAGCGGCGCTGGTGGAGCCTGGATCCTTCTGGTGCATGGTGGTGGGAGGTGAAAGTCGAGAGACCTCTTCCCTCTCTAGGAAGTGGCCAGGCAGCCAGGGAAACCTCTTGGGGTGGGTGGGGTACTGGGGAAGGGATGGGGAGGGCCCGTCCTGGGGGACACCCGAATTCCGAAGCCCAGCCAGCAGCAACCCCCCTGAGACGACCTGCCGTGAAGCCGCGCAGCCTCGGCCAGAGCCAAGCAGGACGCATAGGGGTGCGGTGGGGGGAGGGGCGGGCAGCGCCCAGCGTTCTTCATAGCAGGTGGCACCAGGCGGTCGGTGCAACCTGCGCAGCGCGTCCTCGGGAATCCGTGTTTTTTGTTTTGTTTTGTTTTGTTTTGTTTTGTTTTGAGAAAATGTCTCGCTGTGTGGCCCAGGCTGCAGTCCAGCTTCTGGCTCGAGGGCTCCTCCGCATTGTCCTCCCCAGTAGCTGGGTGCGCAGGCAGGGGCCCCGCGACGGTTTCCATCCCCACCTGAAAGCTGCCGCGGAGACGCCGGGGGCACGGGGTCCTGAGCCCTGCGCAGGTCCCACCGCGCCGCGGGTCCAGGCAGTCCTCCTGGGCCACCCTCCAGAGCAGCGGGGTGACTTTGGGGAAGGGGATTCGCTGGGGGCCGCTGGGGGGCGGCACACTCCTGGACTGCAGCCTCCAGCCTGCCCTGGAGTGGGAGCTTAGCTGGAGGAGGTCGCACCATCTT